TTTTTTGCGGAACCGGGGATTGAACTCAGGTCCTTGCGCTTGCCAGGGAAGCGCTTATTCTACTGAGCCATCTCCCTGGCCTCCTCCTTGAGTATATTCTGAAAGGACTCAGAAGTATCATATCTTAGCAATACATGCATACTCATACTCAAAGAGGATATGTATAGATATTCATAATAGCTACGTTCTTGTATCAGACTAGATGTCTATCATTGTATACATGGATAAAGATTAGAGGGACATCCTTTTTTTATTTTTTGTATTTTAGGGAAAGACCTACAGGGTGTTCAGGGTCTCACTACTAGATTAGACTCATAGTGATCCACCTGTTTACAGCCTCCCATGAGCTGGGATTACAGGTGTGCACCCCCATGCCCAGTCTCAGATGCTGTCTCAGTGAGCCCCTGGCCCCTGTGCCTGCTTACAGGTGCTTTAATCCACTGAGCTATTTGGCCGGCCCAATAGGGACATCCTGAACATTGTGGTGTCTTCTTTTAATCCCAGCACTCTGGTAAACTCAGCCAGGAGGATAACAACATAAAGTTCATTCTGATGAAATTAATGATGAATAAGATATCTTCTCAAAATTATAAATTAAAAAACTGGAAATGAAATTTAATGCTAAGAACTTTGTTAATTCAGAGCACTTAAAAAATGCTATATATTCACCCATAAAGAGGCATCGTGTATTATTTTGCAAAAGAGAAAATAAATAGTACTACATTTTATCATGTTAAAAAAAGTCAGACACAGAAAGTTAGTTATCATGTGTTTTTCTTTTATATAAAATACCAAAAAGTAATTAGAGAGTGAAATTCAGATAATGTGATAGAGACCATAAAGTATGATTTTTTTTTTTTGCAGATGGAATGATGAGCAGGGTAAAGAGACATGCAAAGAAGGATGGGGGAAAGTGTCAAAATGAAAGTGTCAAAGACCTAAATAAAATTAGATACTATATATTACAAGCGTATACCAATTTAAAATTTCCAAATCAATACTATCCTTTGGGGAAATGGGTGTTTTGGATGCATCTTCCAAGGCATTAAGACAATTCATTCAGAAAATTTCTTTGCAGGCATCCAGCCAGAACTTCCTGTGGTTAATTATGATATGGAGACCTTTCCATTGTGATTTGTACTTGTCTTCATTTTTTTCTTTGCAGAAATGAAGAAGCAGCACGATGCTCTCAATATAAAGCTTGGAATCACAATGAAAATATGTTCCTTTGGACTCCAGATGCTAGCATGGACATGAAGCAGGCTGCATTAAAGCCAGCTAGGAGCTTGCTTTGTAGAGAGTCCCTGAATGGGCATTTATCACTGAATGTGCCCATTTTACCTCACTCTGGAGAGAAGCCAGATGAGTGTTTGGGATTTGATGACAAACTGAGTGAATGTAATGAACAAGAAAAACCTTACAGTGATCCCCAGTCCTTTCAGAAGCATGCAAGTACAAAACCTGGAGAGAAACCCTATCAATACGAGGAACATGAGAAATCCCACACTGAACCTAGTGAAAGATCTCACCCTAAAGAGAATACCATTTCAGGTCAGAAAAGTGTGAAAACTTCCAGCACCTCCAGTGGTGTTCAAATCCAGGAAAAAATTCACAGTGGGAAGAAACAATATGTATGCAAAAAATGTGGGAAGACCTTCAATACTGAAAGTTGTTTTAAAATTCAGGAAAGTTTTCACATGGAAGTGCAACCTTATGCTTGTAAGCAATGTGGAAAAATATTTGCTGATAAATCTGCATTTCAGAGACATAGACATAAACAATCCCACGCTGGTGAGAAACCCTATGCATGTAAACAATGTAGCAAAGCTTTCAGCAGATGCAATAACTGTAAAATACATGAAAGAAGTCACAATGGTGAGAAACCCTATGTTTGTAAGCACTGTGGAAAAGCATTCAGTGTACACAGTACCTGTCAACGTCATGAAAGAAATCACACTGCAGAGAAACCCTTTAAGTGTAAGCAATGTGGGAAAACATTAGCACACACAGCTACGGCCAAGTCCATGAAAGAATTCACACTGGGGAGAAACCCTATGCATGTAAGCAATGTGGGAAAGCATTCAGCAGGCAGAGTAATTGTAAAATACATGAAAGAATTCATACTAGGGAGAAACCCTATGTATGTAAGCAGTGTGGAAAAGCGTTCAGGATATATAGTGGTTATCGACTCCATGAAAGAATTCACACAGGAGAAAAACCCTATATTTGTAAGCACTGTGGGAAATCATTCAGCCAATACACTAGCTGTCAAGGCCATGAAAGTACTCACACTGGGGAGAAACCTTATGTATGTAAGCAATGTGGGAAAGCATTCACTACACACCGTTATTGTCAAATACATGAAAGAAATCACAGTGGGGAGAAACCTTATGTGTGCAAGCAATGTGGAAAAGCGTTTACTACAAAGGGCTATTATACTGTACATGAAAAACTTCACACGGGGAAAAAACCTTATGTGTGCAAGCAATGTGGGAAGGCGTTTACAACACATAAATATTGTAAAAAACATGAAAAGATTCACAATGTGGAAAAACCTTATCTGTGCAAGCAATGTGGAAAGGCCTTCACTATGCTTCAATATTGTCAAAGACATGAAAAAACACACAGGCATGAACCCCTATGCACAGAAGCCACGAGGAGAAAAAATATCTAATGTGTCCTTATATTTTATACATAGATCTCACTCTGGGGAGGAATCCTATGTATAAAAACAATGTAGAGAAAATATACAAACAGGGGCCGGGGAGATGGCTTAGTGGAATAAGCGCTTCTCTGGCAAGCGCAAGGGTCTGAGTTCAATCCCTGGCTCCACCAAAAAAAAAAAAAAAAAAAAAAAAAAAAAAAAGAAAATATACAATTTTTATAAAGTATAGGGAAGAAACCCTGTATGTATGTAAATCTATTTTGAAACTTGTACAAACTGAAATTCCCTCATGAAGTGGATACCTGTACAAATGAATTTTTTAAAATTTTTATAAATACTTAATTTATTTATTTGGCACAGGGTCTCAATACACAGTTGAGACTCATAGTGATCCTTCTGTCTCAGCCTCTCCAGTACTGGGATTACAGGTGTGTGCCACCACGCTTGATTTTGGTGTGTGACCAACACTGCATGCAGTACCGGGGATCAATCCTGGGTCCTTGCACTTGCCAGGCCGGCGCTTAGATTGCTAAGCTATCTCCCTGACCACAAATTAATTTTTTTTCATAAATTAATTAATTTTCTTTTGAGGAACCAGGGATTGAACTCAGATCCCTGCGTTTGCCAGTCAACTGCTTATCCTAGTGAGCCATCTCCCCGGCCCCATAAATTAAAATTTTGATGTTAGTTTTTCTTCTAAATTTTTCAGAAAATATCCTCCCAGTTGAAGATATGCTACAATATATTCCTTCTGTGTGTGTGTGTTTTTTTTTCCAGTAAATCACTTCTACATTTCTGGACTATATATCTGTAGTCCTTACTATACTATAAAAATCATTGACCTGGTAATAGTTTTCTGTACTTCATTGTCTTTGTAATATATAGTATCTTCTAATGAAACAAGATTAAATAAAATGAGTTTCTCACTTCCAAGTAGGGTTAGTATTTATAATGATTTTTTTTTTTCAGTACTGAGGATTGAATTCATGACCTTGAACTTGCCAGGCAAGTGCTTATTCTACTGAGCTATCTTCCCAGCCCAAGTATTTATATATTTTGATTTTGTTTTCCTTAATAATTAGGGAGTATGGACCCTTAGAAGATAAATGTTGGGCCAGCCAAATAGCTCAGTGGATTAAAGTGACTGCAAGCAGGTGCAGGGGCCAGGGGTTTGATCCCTGGGCCTGCCGTGCTGGCCCTGCCCTTGAGGCCTGCTGAGACAGTGAATAAGAGTGGGTTTGATGGTGCACGCCTGTAATCCCAGTACTTGGGAGGCTGTAAACAGGAGAATCACTACAAGTCTGATCTAGTAGTGAGACAGTGAACACCCTGTAGACCCTTCCCTGAAATACAGAAGAAGATAAATGTTATTGTTTTTTAATTGATAGCGTTTACCAAAATCTTTGCCTTTAATTTTCTTGGTGTACATATTTCATATTATGTGTAAAAATAATTTTATCTAATGTTATAATACATATGTATTCATTTTTTTTCAAAAATTAAGTAAATTTTATTTTAAAGAAATTTCATGTGATTAGGGCCATTTTAATGAGGCTGTCTTCAGAGTAGGCCTTTTCAAAAGAACTGCAGCTTACTCCAGCTATCCCATCTGCCCTGTGGTCTTATAACCAATTTTGTCCAGCAATGTATTTTTGGAGCATTTATGGTAGATGGATCTGCCTTAGTCTGACACCCTAATCTATTCATAGTAGTACAGGCCGCTAGGATATGCAATTAATTATCATCACCTTCTTTGACATTCACGTTTATCTCCTTTTCAGATCTTTCTGCCCTCTGTCCGTTATTTCTGGCCTTAGAAACTCTCTTCGTCGACAAAGCAGCTTCTTTATTCTTCTCTCTTGGTAAGCACACATTCATCTTGCTTGGAAATTTAGAACTCATAATGAAACAGCTCTCCTCTACTAATTTGATATCACATGCATCATGTTCAAGATGTGTTGTCTCATCTTCTGCTCCTGACTCTTCAATAGGAGACATGGAGCCATCATCATCCAAGTATTAGTATCTATGACTATCAAGGTCGTCTTTTTCTAAATCCTCACCAACATTCATTTGTTTCAATGATTCCTTAAGGTGGTGTTCGTACTTCAGTTTTTCAATATAGTTAAAAAATCCTCTTGCAACAGCTTGCTCAAAACTTAAAGTTTTCCTCCAAGGTAATGGTTTCCTTCCATCCTCAGATTGTAAAATTGGAAACGTAGGTCCTTTTTCTTTGATTTGTTTTTTTTACCTATGTTTGATCTTCTAGTGTTTTTCTTTCTTTTTGGTCTTCCTCTTGGTGTTAATTTTGGCTTATATTTCCTCGTCTTACGTTTCTTCTTTTTCTTGAATCTTTCAAAAATAGCCTTCAAAGTCAATGGTCTTGGTTCTATAGATGAGTCGCTTGAATCTGTTTGAATATTCTCAGGTATATGAACCAATTTCCTCCCAGGTTTTCTTTGAGTCCGTTTAGGTAAGGAGGGTACACATTGTGTTTTAAATAAGCTACTACCCGATGAAGAGCTATCACTTTGATTTTCGATTTCTATAGCTGCATCAGATGTCATATAGTTGACAGGGTCCATTCCTGATTTTTCCATCACTTTTTCTTGGTCTTAAAGAATTTCTTCTTCTACTGCACTGCTGGAAAGCTACATATGTATTCATATTTAGAAATATGTGAACATGTGCTTTTGAAAAGGTCAGTCATTTTTTCCACAACTTGAAGGTTAGCAAATCCTTTGTTCTTCATATCCTAATAGGATACCTAAGTGTGTCCCAACATAGTTTTATTATATCAAATATATAATTTTGCCTGTGTGCCTTTATGTCACTGTCAGTATGATTAATTACATAAAATTTTGTTTTCTTACCATCAGCATTTTACTTTTATGTTTACATTTATATAACTTCTAATTTTGTGGTAATTTTAACAAAGCTTCTAACTCCCCCCCAAAAAAATTCAACTGTGAGTTTCTGATCGTGACAGATCAGATGGATCAGATGGATCATGACTCATCTGTAAAAGGATATCAGGACTATAGTAAAATAACTGTCAATGTGTTCTAAAGAAACACTTTTAATGTGAAATATGCATTCTGCCTTGATTGGATTATTAAAGTTTTCCACTGACTTTAATAATGACTTGGTATAGTAGGAGACTCTTAAGAGATCTCTGGCCCGCCAACTATATTGTTGCCTTCATTGAGGAAGAATAGTTTACTTTTCCCTTGACAGTCTTGGTCAATCACCCCTCTAAACACTGTAACTTCATTTTTATCTTGTTTCCTCAGAGTTATAAGGAAATGGAAATGATGAAGAGGAAGTCCTCATGTTGAGTTAAGTGGTATCTTTATTGCACTTCCTGGTATAAGCTTTCCCTCTACAACTAAGACTTCTGTCTAAGCCAGCATAGCATAAAGTCTTTTTTTTTTTTTTTTCTTTTTTTTTGCGGAACCGGGGATTGAACTCAGATCCTTGTGTTTGCCAGTCAAGCGCTTATCCTACTGAGCCATCTCCCTGGCCCCTCATAAAGTCTTGAAGATTAAAAATTTTGCTGATAAGTCATTATATGTTATGGTTTGTGGTATCACCTTTACTTATGGGAGACACAAAAACGGAGTGAATACTGCCTCCAAAGCATACACACAGCTTTTTGAAGAACCTTTCCCCACCCCGGAAAGCCACTGCTACCTTACTGGAACTGCAACTGTGCCTTCAAAAAAACCATCCCACCTTTCTATCAATCCAGCTGCATTTGAATAGTGAGGAACATGGTAAGACCAACGAATTCCATGAACATGCACCCATCACCTCACTTATTTGGCCATCAAATTTGTAAATTGGGATCTAAGCCTATGCTGTATGGAATTCCATGATAGTGGATAAAGCATTACATAAATTGAGGAGTCGGAGTTTTACTAGAAGCATTACATACAGGAAAGACAAATCTATCCAGAATAAATATCTACTCCACTAAGGACAAAGCACATTCCTTTCAAGATTATAAGTGGTCCAATATAATCAACCAACCACTAAGTTGAAGGCTAAACACCTCAGGGAATTGTGTCATAATGGGGAATCAGTGTTGGTCTCTGCGGCTGGCATATTGGGCCTTCACCAGTGGCCGTAGCTGGAACAGCCTTGGTGAATGGGAGTCCATATCACTGAGCATGCGTAACCTTGATACCTGCCAACATGCCCACCGTCTTCACGAGCTCATTGGGAAATGAAGGGATGGCCGACGAGAAGTTGACTCCTACCTGCAGAAGTGGTCAGTTCATCCTATTTGTTGCTAAAATCCTCTTTGCTGAGGTCACTTTTTAGTGAGCATTTACATGGAATACAAATTTTAAATCCCTTGCACATAAAGTTAGGACTATCTTCATGCTTCCTCCCCAAATATCTTTGTCAACAGTTTTCCAGTTATGTTCTTCCACATTCCAGAACATCCAAGGAGACCACTGGCTATAGCCCATCATCAGGATGCAATCACATATCTGGCCAATTTTCCTCCCAAACAAAATGTATATCAGGTGCACTGCCCAAAGTTGTGCCCACAGTGAAGATTTCTCTCCACCACTGTCAATCCGGAATGTCCTGGAACGTAGTTGTAATTCTGCAGCTATCCACTTGCAGGTGGTGTTTGCATAACACACAGAACCTTCCATCCATACACAGCCTTTTTTTCCTTTACCAATTTATCATATGGTCCACCCCATGAGTCCATAGGTACGTGTTTGGAAATAGAAGGTGCCAAAAGCTGCAACTTTTGTTGCATAGGTCTTGCTTTATCTTGGTCTCACCAGCAGAAAAGTATAAAAACAAAGCAGAAAAGTATAAAAACAAAGTATAAGAAGTAAAGCCTCGGTGTTACGTTCAGCTATAGGGGACTCTTGTTAACAATTTCTGACACTGCCAGTCAAGCAGAAGACCCAATACTATTATGGACCACTGGACTCTTAGAATATTTCGCTGAGTTTACACACCTATAATATTCAAATGATGGA